CTTTCTTTCTTTCTTTCTTTCTTTCTTTCTTTCTTTCTTTCTTTCATCAATTCTGTGAATAGTCAGATATCCCTCCCAGCTAAGCTGCCAATAAATCTATAGCCTGTCTAAAGATAGCATTTCTGTATATCAAAAATAGCCAAAAGAGTAATAGCTACACATACTGTGAATGGAAAAGTGAAATGAGAGAAGATAAATGAATTGGGTTCAAATTCAAGTGTTTGGCAAAAAAAAAATGTAAACTGCACATGAGGATTAGAGGAATAAAGATGACTTTAGATAAAACGTGAATGTGTTCTATAGTGCAAGTATGTATGTGTATACAGTTAAACATTTAAAATAATTTTATTTTTGAAATATATTTGTTTTCTAATATTCTTTTATGAATGATAATTTGTTTATTTTGAATTTTATCTCAGTTTATAAGCAAAAATTACATTTCTTTTCAAAAATTAGTTACTTTGGTAAATAACAGCATTTACTTAAAATATTTTAAGTAAAACAACAAACTTAAAATAAACTGACTTGTTAAGAAAGAATTCAGAGTTTTTATTTTTATAAAATCTTAAAATCTGGATAAATTAGATTTTTAATTAATAATAAATAATATTTTTGAAAATAATTTTAGCATCCTTAGTTTTACTTTTAAATATGTGATATTTAACCACCTTATTGGAATACTAATCATGATATACTCTTGTGTAAGGATTCTGGCTATGGAAAAACACAAGGCAGGGTTCCTCTGGTGAGCAAACTACCAAGGGGTAACAGGAACCCCGTTTTCAAGACTTGGATTATTCTGAAGTTTCTCCCAGCAATTAGTAAGATAACTAATACATGTGCAATGCCTAGCTGCTATGATAATGTCCTTTGTGAGGAGGCTCTGTACTAGATAGAGTCTTATCAACCTTGACCTTGATTTCAGATACTCAGCTTTTGGGAATAAAGGAAAGCTCTTGTTAAGATAATGACAGTGTTTCACTGAGCCCAAATCTGTCTACATAACAGTAACTTTATACAATGAACTTTCTTGAGATCTACACAAAGCTCCTAACATTACAGATTGCAACTTAGTATGTAACTGAGAAATAGGCTGTATAATGTTGCTAAGTCTATAACCTGAGTAGTAATAACAGTGAACAATAGGTACTAATGATGTCAGTGACCTAAAGTAACCTATTGAAATAAATAAAGCTAGCAGCTCAGGAGAGCAGCTTTTGCTGTGCCTCTGCACCTTTCTTCTCTCTGCTTTTGCTTTTCTTACACTCTTGTTTTCTCCATTTATTTTCATTTTAAATTACTCCAACTTGTATCACTTCTAAAGTGAGAATAGTTAAAACTGTAGTCCACAATGACAAAATGCTTCTTTACAACCTTTAATGAAAATCTCCCTTGTTAATGTACTTCTTCAATACCATCTCTTCTACATAATCCAATGCAAAAGCCTGATTTTTTTAGGAAGACTATATTAAATAGTTTCTTAAGTGATATGTGTAATCTGAATTGGTGTAGATCCTAGATTTTACTAGCAACCTTACTAACTAATTTCCCATGTTTTGAAGGAGTTGGAAAGTATAAAAACATTGTTATTGCTGTTGTTATCTTGGTATTGGGCTACATTTATTACCCTTTTTGATGTTTTATTTTGAGATAGGGTCTCAGTAAATTTCAGAGGCTGGCCTTGAACTCGTGATCCTCAGCCTCTATGTCACTGAGATTACAGGTGTGTGCGCCACCATACCAGATAAAATAGTATTATGTATTAACCATTCATTTTCATTTGCTATAGAGAAACACAGGCAAGATGTTAAAGAATAAAAAAAATGAAGAAAATACCCATTTGTTCCTCGGAGAATGCCTTTTTTTTTTGTAAACAACAAGAACCTTACTATAGTTGGGAGGTAGTTGTGCACGCCTGTAATCCTAGTGGCACCAGAGGCTGAGACAGGAGGATCCAGATTTCAAAACCAGCCTCAGCAATAGCAAATTACTAAGCAACTCAGTGAGACCTGTCTCTAAATAAAGTACAAAATGGGACTGGGGATGTAGCTCAGTGGTCCAGTGCCCCTGGGTTCAATCCCCTCCACACACACCAAAAAAATAATTCACTGTACTTTCTATTTGGAGAGACTTTTATCTATAACTGCATATATTCAAAACAAGTACTCTTCTCACAAGCAAATTTAAACTTTAATATTATGGACTATTAAATGTTTAGTTTGAGACTAGGTATGTACAGATCTTATGTCTTTAAAGTCCCTTTTTAAAAAGTGAGCTTCCTTAGTAAAACTTTGGCTCATTTTGAATGCTGTCCATATTTACCTTATGTTTTCTCCAAATATCTACTGCATTTCAGCAATCTCATTTTCTCCAGCCCATTGACATGTTACAAAACTCTATCTAACAAAACTCTAACTAAGAAATGTCAAGCTTAATGAATAAGGCAAAATCATGGAAAACAGGTTATCCTGTGAGCTCAGGTTCTAGACTCAGGTTCTGAGTGTTCTGATTCATCAGCTTTATTGAGATCTAAAGGATCACTGGTATTTCTTAGTCAGCCAGTGCCTCTGAGCTCCAGTGCCAAAACAGACAAACAAACAAACAATCAAACAAAAACAATAACAACTAATCTTCTGAAAAGAGGGATGCTAAAATGCATCCAACTTTCTAAATCTTATACTTGTAAAAAAATATTCTAACTAATAGTTAAAGACTTGAACACCCTCAGAAAATATGAGGACTTTATATCTACTATGACATTTACAATTTAGTTGTAAAAAACAGGAATGGTGACTGCAGAATGGTGAAGTTGTATCACTAATAACTTGCTTACCTAAAAGAGGAGAACCATGTTAATTAGGAAAATTTCATGTCAATTTTATTTTTACCCAAAAGATATAAAATCTAGCACATTAATCATAAGCCCATAACTTCAGAAGTTAACATAAAGGCTCTGTAAGTGAAGAAAAGTTGTCCTGAAGGCTATGTAGTCCCATAAGTATTCTAGCTTTTCTATAATCAGTTTTTCTTGAAGCATCTTCATTCTAACTTTCTACTTTTAACCTTCATCTTCTTTACAGTTCAAGTAAATTTCCTTTAGATACCATTGAGTTGCTTCTTGTATTTTATTTAGTCTCTCTTTACCTTTTTGTTAGTGTTTATAAATTATATTTAATGTGATTATTGATATGTGTAGCTTTAAATTAGCCATCTTGCCATTTGTGTTCTATTTGCTGTATCTGTACTGAATTTCTTTTACTCCTTTTGTTTTCTTTTGATTAATTAATTGTTAATTTTCCATATTATCTCCTCTGTAAAGAGTCAGCCAGATTTTACAAGATGTCATACCATTCTCCCTGACCAACTCCAATGAGAGAAAGGTTTGGAGTTTTATCTGATGATATACACCACAGAGGAAGAGAGTGACCATGACTTGTGATGTGTTTGTAAAAAGAGAAAGCAGGTCTAGTCCATGTCCCATCAGGAGAATCTGAGAAAATACTGAGGGCAATTTTCAGCAGTAGGTGCTGATGCTGTTGTGTCAGGATATAGAGGGAGTGATCAAGGAAGTTGTGCTGCATCATCCACACACCAACATTACTGATGATCTAAAGCTTTGAACATGGAGAGGTAGTTGTGATGGAAACAGAAGCTATATGAGAAGAAATAAGAAAGAGAGCTATGAGAGGAGAGCAGTCACTCACTGGTAACTAGACCACACCATGTTCTCCTTCAGATACATCTCAGTTTAAACTCTAGTCTATGTGTATGAGAGCAATAGTTTCCTGAAAGTAACTTGAGTGACCCTATGTTTCTCAAACTAAATGAACCTCAATGAATATTGACATTTATGTTACCACAATTATTCAGTCCTAGTTTTATCAATGGAAAAGCAAGTGAAAGGAAAATCATTTTGTTTACTATATTTTTAAAATAAGTATAGAAAAAGTACTAAAAAGCATTAGACTAAGTATACATTTTGTTCCTAAATGACTATGGAAATAATTGTTTAAATGCTCATTATGAATAATAAAATATTTAATTATAGTTTTAAAAGGGATGAGTTATGGACATTTTTTCAGATATGGATATATTGCTATCATTATAATTGCCTCTCTTATTGGTCTACATAACTTTCTTTCACTTTTATTTTTTAATATAACTGGCAAGTGTTTAAATGGATGACTGATTATGCAGCTATGAATCACAATAATTTGTTTTCTTTGAATCACTTGGATGTGAAAGGCAATTAAATAATTTGCCACATCTGCTAACTGTCTTGAATAAATTTGATCATTGAAGCTCAATTTTACATGAAGATTGGTCATCAAATTAATTCATTTGCTTTCCAGATCATTTCAGTTCTTCTTGTTCAAACATTTAAATACCTTATAAAAGAATAGCAACATTTGCCACGACTGTACATTTCCAGGAGATTAAGTGGAGCATCTTCTTTTGATTCTTCTGTTTGATCTCATTAATATAGACAGTGGTGTAATTTTATTCACATACTATTTTGATAGTTGTATAAGAAGTCTGAAATAAAGTTGTTTCTTCTACTTCTTTTAAATTTCCATCAGAACATATTGCCTGGATTCCTGTTCACAGATTCTGAAGCTTCACATTCTATTGCAAAAATTGCTCATCCACACCCCCTTCATCTCTCCTTTAGGATTTGAAGGTGAACAGTGTGAAATTGATAAGAATGAGTGTCTCTCTCTTCCCTGCCAGAATTATGGTGACTGTGAAGATGAGATCAACAATTTCAGGTAGAGAAAAACAAACAAAAACCTAGATGTCTGTTTAGGTGTATGAATATATCAAGATAAATGTTTAGAATTTCAACTAACAAATTAAGCAACATATGTGACTACTAAAAAGTAGCTATGCTACAATCAGTTGAAGTTTTCAATTCTTTATATTTATATTAATACAGTTACGACTCTTTTTTTGTGTTGTTTTAAAGATGTGTTTGCAGACCCGGGTTTTCTGGATCTCTATGTGAAATACAAATTAATGAGTGCTCCTCTAAGCCTTGCAAAAATAATGGAACATGTGTGGATCTTGAAAACAGGTTAGAAACTACTTTTTATTAAATCAATGATTGCATGTGTGCAATTTAACAAATAATAAAGTGAGTGCACATATACCCATTATGCAATTTAGGAAGCTGAACTTTACTGATACATTTGTGCTTATCCCTAAGTACAACCTCCTCCATCCTACCCAATTAATTATATTGAGTAACCTGAATTTATGTTTATCATTTTCCCTGTAATTTACTGTGTTCATTATTTGTCTGTAATCTTTTAAATTTGCTCTTTAATGTACATATTCACATATGTGAAATAATTTTCTCCAGTCTTGTGAAAAATATTTTTCAATGAAAAGTTTTCTTTAATGTCTGTGGCTCATTTTCAAGTTTTATAGAATATTTCATGTATGCTAGCAATGTTTTATCATTCTGCTGGTCATAAATAATTGGATTATTTATTTTTGTCTTATCAATGATTAGAATAATTAGATTATATATAAGGTTTTCAACTATTTCTCCAAATGTACCAGCCATAGAGTTGTTCTAAGTTACATCAATTGAAACAGAATCATTGAATCTTGGTGTTGACATTTCTACCTCTGGTAATTATGTTTATTATTTCTATACAATTTTGAAAATGGAATATTAACACTCTCTACAACATTGAATAATCCAGTCATTAGCATTGTCTGAATGTTTCAGTTGGTATCTTGGACCACATCACACATTCTCACTCATGCCTGGAGTTAAAGAGGTTATCTTATACAAGCAGAGAGTAGAAGAGTGGCCTTTAGAAGATGAGAAAGGCAGGAGGGAAGAAGGATATAAGTTAGATGACAGGAGAATTAGTTCAAGTATTCTGTAGTACAATAAGAGAATACATTCCACAACAAATATCTGTATGTTTCCAAATACCTAAAAAATCCAAAGATTCCTAACATTTAGAAATGAAAATATTTGAGAAAACAGAAATTCTAATTACCCTGACTTAATTATTACATGTTGTATATGTGTGCTGAGTTATTATAGTGTACCCCAGAAATATGTATGAATACTATTTGTTAGTTTAAAAGTTTTAGAAGGACTCCAATACAATTAAAACAAGCAAAATAAACTGTGCATCTCATTGCATATTCAGTATTTTCTTAGATTAATATTAAATTTGATGGGTTTTGCCATATACAAATTTTCAAATTACTATATTTCTTATATTTTATATATTAAGATATGTCTATATTCATTAAAAATTAAAATATGCAAGCCATAATATTTACATCATGTCTTAAGCATGAAAAGCCTAAACACAAAAGTTTAAAATATTATTTGAAGGATTTATTTACATTTAAGTTCAAAAAATTTAACCTAAGTATATCTTATCTATTTGCAAAGATAGATTATTTGAAATCTAAAACATACTTATTAATATAAAGTACTGTGAATGAGAAATGCAGAGAAGAGTAGTAGAATAGTATTATAAAGGAAAAATATAAAATGCTTTAAGATTTATTATGAATTTCAAAATTTGAACTACTTTAACAAAAGCTAAAATTTCTTATCAGAAAGTTTCATGAGTAAGCTGGTAGGGGTGGTGCACGCCTGTAATCTCAGCACTTTGGGAGGTTGAGGCAGGAGGATTGTGAGTTCAAAGTCAGTCTCAGCAAAAGCAAGGTGCTAAGCAACTCAGTGAGACCCTGTCTCTAAATAAAATAGAAAATAGGGCTGGGGATGTGGCTTCCTGGTCCAGTGCTTCTGAGTTCAATCCCTGGTACCAAAAAAATAAATAAATAAATTGAAAAAAGGAAAGTTTCATGAGTGATATTCTATAGTTTTTTTTGTAATATTTTATAGTAATTTAGTAAAATTATATATTAAAATAAACATAGATTAAATTTATGGCAAACAGATTTTTAAATAAAAATTCTTTTAAAAAAAATCTATGCTACATCTTGGCTCTTGTAATATTTAATCTGTGTAATTATTATATTTTTAATAACTCAGCTTTCTAGAAATATAAGAATAATTCTTCTAGTTATTAATTCTTCAAATAATATAAAAGAATGATGTACATAAAATGTAAACATAAGCTAATTTTAGGACTTAAAAATCCAAGTGATTATCTTCTATTTTGCTCTATGTAATCTTTTATTGTGGCAATATCACTTCAGGTAAGTCATATTTACTCTTCCTTATCTCTACTTTATGCATTGGATTTTTCTCAATATTCATCCGTTCAAATGCATCTCAGTAACTAGAAAAGTATGTTGAAAAGATATCTGAAAGCATACAAATGTATGTTTGAAAAAACATGTTTATCCAATTAAAAATAAAATAAAGATTTTCCATACTTTGACATTAGGTTTAAGTTTGATTCTCCTAAAATTTTTGAAGCAAAAGTCATGCATTTGAGTTAGAATTTTAATTTTATCAAAATAAATATTTCATCATCTCAATTGTTTTCTTGGAATGTAGGATGTTTTATATATGTGTATTTAAGTTGTTAAAATTGTGCTTCTAAAAAGAAAAAAAAATGTTTTAGGAACCTATAATGTAAAATCAAATAATTATTACCAATTTGAACCACTTAAGACATTAACAAAAATGAAGATTCACTTTTATTTTTCCTTTAGCCTCAAATGGTATGTGAAGCATAAAGGGAGCCTCAGCAGGTATTAATGAAAGCAAAACTATGCCTAAGCTGGATGGATTGTCCATGTTAGCCAGTAGGAGAGATTTGGTGAGAAGCCATCAGACATACTCTAGGCACTTTTATTCATTATTATTTTAAAGGGCCAGGTTAACAGGCATGGTACAATGCTGCAAATGTTCAGTCTTGTGTTTGCCTCCCTTATTACCAAAGAGTAGAAAGAGAGCAGATATTAAAAGAAGGGGGAAAGACACAGGAAACCTGTATTTTACTTCTTCTGGGAAAGACTAGACCCAGAAATTCAAGGTAAATGCTGTTCTGCAGTAAATATTTCCTTCTCAAAATATATGCCCTCACATTGTATATCATGGTGGGAGATGAGTATAGAGTCAGTTAAATATTTCCTGTAAACTATGTGTTTTATTGGGATTGCTGCCAATAATGGTCTGTGGATTTTTGTTTTTTAACCTTTATAAAATTTTAGCTAATATTCAGAAATCTTTAAAATTGGCCCTAGAATCCTGGGAGTATTTGGAACCACTAATAAAAGAGCAGGCATACTCCACACTTCAGTTGAACAGTCATCTGTACATTATCAATCTTTAATTATGCTTGGAACTTACTTTTTTTGAAAAATGAAGTGCATTTATGCAGTGCTAAAGAGTTTCAGACTGAAAAAGTGGTTTAGAAAATAGGAGAGATTAGTAATGGTCTTGACCAAAACTGAAAAGACAAAATAACATACTGAAGTTGAAGTGATGCATTCTTCGATAAAATGATTATTATGATTCATAAACATAAAAAATCCTGACAACTAAGATTTGTAAATTTGCAGTGTGTTTGTGTGTGTGTGTGGGTGTGTGTGTGTGTATGTGTGCACATGCATGTGTACACTCTAAAATCAACTTTAAAAACGAAAGCCAAACTGGGTGCAGTGGTACACACCTGTAATCTCAGTGGTTCCTGGGCCTTAGGAAGAAGTATTGTGAATTCACAGCCAGCCTCAGCAGCCCAGAGAGGCCTTAAGCGACTTAGCGGGACCCTGTCTCAAAATTAAATATAGAAAAGGTTGGAGATGTGGCTCAGAGGTTAAGCAACTCTGGGTTCAATTTGCCATACAAAATAAATGAATAAATAAAACAGAAGCAAAAATTAAAGCATAATTTTTGGAATGGTTCATTTTTACATTAATTTAGGTATATTAGAAGAAAGAATATGTAGGCAAATAATAACATTTAGTAAAAACTATAAACATAACCAAAAGGTTATGAATATGAAGGAAATTCGAATTGAAAAGTGAATGAAAGAGAATTCTGGGCAGCTAAGAGAATATAAATCTCTTTATACTTACTTTAAAAAACTATTCAGATAAAACTAAAACTAAACTATTATATATTTCAGCATATGTAGCTATATGTATCCATACATATAAAAATACACATATCAAATATCTTTGTTTCTAAATAATATTACTCACTTAAATAAGCCAGGAATTCCTTAACAAATGGCTCATCTAGAATTAGGACCAGGAATATATTAAAACAAACCTGGAATATCTTATGTTAGAAAGAGTGGTCACAGAATGATGGAAATGTGTCAAAAGGAAAGAGAAACCACTTAATGAGGATACCGATATTCATATCCCAAACAAATTTATCATGAAATAAATTATGGTAGTTATATATTTGATGCATTGAAAGAATGGAAATCTGTGAGTCTATATAGATATGCCTACGCTGATCTAATGTGTGAATACAAGAAAAGGAAAAAATGGTTCCAAGAGTAAAATGTCAAGTAACAAAATAGAACAAATGATGGGCTAGAAAAACATCATTTGGCAAAAGCATAGAGGTCATTGACTCAGTTAAGAAAGATGAAAGGAGAGCAGCTCCTGTTTTTTAGTTGATTCATAGCTGCAGTTTTATGGTATTCATAAGCCCCAGAGAAACATTTCAGAATCCACAGAAAAGAAAACAGGATACAAAAAGTCAAGGGATTTTATTATTTTCTTATTTTTTAAAATGAAAGGGGGGAATTTTGTAAGTGAACAAAATATTTTGATAAAACAAGTCATGATCATCATAAGTCTATCATTGAGGTGCTGGGACTGGGGCTCAGTGGTAGCACACTTGCCTGGCTTTTGGGAGGCACTTTTCGATTCTCAGCACCACATATAAATAAATAAAATAAAGGTCTATCAACAATCAAATTTTTTTAAAAAAATAAGTCTTTCATTGAGAAAATATATATTCCTAATTTTTTCCTAATATTGAGTATTCCACAATAGAGAGTAGATTTCAGAACTTCTGGAGATGTAGAATTATCATAAGTTTATACAGGGGATACAGACATTAAGATAAAAACCATTGTTTTATAGTAATGTAACATTTTTTTAATTTATCAATATACAAAACAAATCATTTTCTGAGATGCCTTTCACTTGTTACTGCTGAGACTTCTATGCATAATTCTTATCCACTCTGAGATTCACTAGAAACATCCTAATTCACTGATAACACACACTAGCAATCAAATCCTAATAAGCATACTTTCAGCTTAGTAAGCCACTTAATAGATTCATTAAATCATCTCACACTCGATAGTGATATATTAGCAAGAAGGAGAAGACTTTTCATTGTTTGAACATAAATTCAAGGATTCATGGTATTTGACTTAGTGATTACATCCATTCCTTAACTACATAGAGATCTTGAGAAATATGGTTCTCTTTTACATCTACATGACACTGCACATGCAATTTTGCTTTCTGTCCACCTGATACAAAGAACCCACTGTCTTTATGATTCATCTTTTTTGATACCTTCAGTAGCAGTTAGCTATGCTTTTTTCAAGCTTCGAACCTGTCTCCAGTGACATTTGCTTTCTACAATGTGTATGTGTGTATATTTCTAATCTTTTAACACTTTCAAAAGCAAGCAAATATCTGCAAGGTGGCATGAATCTGTAGACCCACCTGTTTAAAATATTAAGGCAGGAAGATTATTTGAGCCCAGGAGTTCAGTACCAGCCTGGGCAACATAGTAAAATCCTGTTTTAAAAAAAAAAAAATCCATTTAAAAGCAATCCAAACTTTACTCCCACTTGAATGGGTGCATGACAAATGTCTGACAATCAATTAATGTGTATCAAATGAGTAAAAGAGGAGCATTGGAATAGTAGAATGCTGGTGGTTATAGAATGATGTTAGAGTTTCCTCTGAAAATCAGAATAAAATCTGGCTCAAAAGCATTATGGGGAAACTCAGTAAAACCTCTTTATCTAGACTTCTAAAACAGAAGCAAACTGTGTTTCAGCAGCTTTTTCACTGATGTGATCAAAAGAACTGGTAAGAATTTGAAGAGAAAAATTTATTTGGGGCTCATGGTTTTCAGGAGTCTCAGTCCAGAGACAGCCAACTCCATTGGTCTGGGCCCACTTTGAGGCAGAACATCCTGGTGGAAAGTTGTGCAAGAGGAAAGCAGCACAGAACATGACAATCAGGAAGCAGAGAAGCTCTGCTCATCAGGGACAAAATATAGACCCCAAAGGCCTACCTCTGGTAACCCAACTCTTGTAACCACAACCTACCTGCCTACAGTTACCACCCAGTTAATCCACATCAGTGGACTAACAGGCTGTTTGGATTAAGCCTATTAAAACCCAGTCATTACACTTCTAAACTTTATTGTCTCACACATGAGCTTTTAGGTGATACTTCATATCTAAAATGTAACACTAAGTAAATCTATTTTTGATAAGTGTACTTTTCCTATCAATTAAATTTAATGTATGGAATTATTTTGATATTTTAATTTATATGTGTCAATTTAGGTAGAGTTTAACACAGGTTAAATTATCTCTTTTTTTTGTTGTTGTTGTTAGTCATAGTTAATTTTGAGAAAAATCAGAATCAGCAGAAATCAATATACAAGATAAAGTGGGGACAATTAGAGATTGAAGAAGGGATCACTCACGTGAAGTTTCTATGAATACTTCTTCATGGCAAGGCTATTTAAGAGGCATCACCTTTTGATGCCCTTTTGATACTCTACGAAGTGTAGATATTTGAACCTGATATTTAAGCATTGAATTACGTCTGATATTCGAACAGGTATGGTTCAGTATTCATGAAGCTGTTGCTGATAAAGGGATTTAAAAAATTTTAACTGGAAGGCTTTGATATCAGAAAAATACCATTTATCTTATAGGAGAGTAATCTTATACTTTCAAAAGAGAATATAGATGAAGATTTTATACTAATACCATAGAAAACACAGTTACAGAATTAAGGTCAATAATATTTATCAAACTTAAATAATTATTTATTCAACTCATTTCTTTAAAAATATGTCTTGTAACAAATATTTTTGCAGAAAAAAATATTTTGGAAGTAAAATTCTGTATTAAAAAACCAAAATGGATATGTTGTTGTTTATTTAAATTAAGTCAAAAGTTTTAATTTAATATTTGCACATAAATTGTATGTATATATATATACATAAATTGTATGTATATATATACATAAATTGTATGTATATATATATACATAAATTGTATGTATATATATATATATATAATTGTTTATTATTTCTCATTTTCCTGCATTTCTCTAGATTTTTATGTAACTGCGAACCTGGATACTATGGATCTTTGTGTGAATTGAATGTAAATGAATGTAAAATCCAACCTTGTCCAGGTGGAGAAAATTGTGTCAACAGAACTGGTGGACATACCTGTTTCTGTGCTCCTGGATATACAGGTAAACCTATAACTGATTGTCCCATCTGTGTCAATATACTACTGTTTGTAAATACAAGACAACCTCATTTTTATAAACCACAAATGGCAACTTGTTGGATGCAAAAAGGGCAGGAAGGTCCTGATTCTTGGTCAAAGTGTAAAAGAATTAATGAGAATTAAAATCATGATCGTTTTTTAATCAACAGTTTGGTAAGTACTAGGATTATAGTTTAATATAATTTACATTAGTATACCCTTTTAAATAGAATGTATCTGAAGTATGTTTGCATAGCTATAATACAGGGAAAAGTATGGGAATGTGAATAAGAAAATTAACTTTATCTGTTAAAAATTTCATTTTTTAAAATAATAAGTTTAGCTCTTCTTGTACACTTGTGTGTGTTTAAATAAGAAAATCAGGGAAAAGTTTTTGTTTCAAAGTTCAAGCAGAAATCAAAATATGGAGTTAGCTATCTTAATATTAATTATTCCACAACATAAATACTATCCAAACATAAAGATAAAATTTATCAAGGAACTTACAAAAGGTAGAGAGGCATTAGACCACTAAAAAAGCTGCATTGTTTAGCACAACAGTATAATGATGTGTATCTAACAAGAATCAAGTCTCAATTTGTTATCTGAATTTTGTAGTACTAGATTCATATGGGTTCCTATTCTGAGGACTCTAATACTGAGTTCTTTGCTGGTAGGAGTAAAAATCACTAGAAAAATGGGAGTAAGATTGGCATGCAAAAATGATAAGGAAGTAAAAGCATTTCCAGAGAACAAGGTATCAAAAAGTAAAAAAGTTAAGTGACCTGAAAAAGAACATTAAAGTGTCTTTTTTAAAGGATATTGATGGTCTCAGGAAAAGTACCTTGGTAACAATTATTACATGCTCAAAAGTCTCAGCCTAAATTGTTTTTTTTTTGCATAGTCATTATCTGCATATTTTATTACATAAATAAGGAGCATTAACATTTTGCTATAAAATGCTATACCCCCTAAGTTTTTTATTGCTTATTCTCTTCTGGGTTACTAAGATTTCTATTTAGGACTACATATATCCCATCAGCAAAGCCATACACCATGATGTTAACATTGCTTTGGTCAATGCAGTTGATTGTGTTGAAATAAGAAATGACACATCAAGCTCAACATGAGTGTGAAACATATTCTTTGAAGATGCTGCTGCTGTGCTATGTATGTATATGTATGTTGAGGGTAACACACCAAGCACTTTCCTCTTGCATGCTAGGCAAGCAATTTACCAATGAAATACATTCCTAGTTCCTGTGAAGCTTTTAATATAGCACTTGCTTTGACATTTTACATTTACCCTAATCCTTCAAGGGTTAAATATTTTTTTTTCTTTTCACGACCTGTATCTTTACATTACAAAATACAGTGCCTACCATTATTTCAAAATACTATTGGCTAATATGCTACCAGTGGTAAATTAAAGATTTTGTGATGTGTGTTTCTGTGACAATTAAAAAAAAAACGTAATCAAATTGTTGACTTTAATAAATAGGATTTAACTTTTCTTACATAAGAACTCTGTAGATAGACAGCAACCAAGGTTGGTACTAGCTTGACAGTAACAGGCTAGGTTATGATTTCTTAGTATTTAATTCATATTTATAGTTTCAGGACTCAGAATTGCTGTTGCACTTTTAGTCATTATGTCTATACTCCAGTCAGGAAAAGGAAGAAGAGTGGTGTCAACTGCATTGACCCCTTCTCTCAGGAAATCCTTCCCAGAATACAAATAAAAGATTTCTGTTAATACTGTATTGACCAGAACTGCCTCACATGGGCATTTTTAGCTGTAGAGGAAGGTGAGAAATTAAAAATTTATGTCTTGTAAAATTTACCACTGAATATAGTAAGGTAATATTTAATTATAAAGTATGTGTTACATTTAGTTTTATATTAAGTATGACCTATGCCTGCGTGTTCAAAAGGAGGTTATTCTCCTCAAGAGAGTTCCATGTACTTGTTTTCCTCTACATGCTACTTTGACATCAAATTTGATCTTCTCTGTCATTCAAGCATACAGGAAGCTTTTTGTTATTCTCAGACACTTGTAGCATTTATTTTGTCTTAAGCTCTGCTGGAAGTCCTTCTTCCTTTCAGCCCCTAAAGCTCTAGGATTTTGTGAAAAGATATTCAAGTCTATTCATTTCCCTTATATTCTGTTTCCAGGAAGTCATGACAATGTAAGATTTTACTTAGAGAATCTTACATTTTAAGATGCAACTTTTACATGCCTCTTTTATATTTGTCAAGATCACACATCCAATAGTGACAGAGCCACATCCAAAATATGCATCCCTTTCTCTTCCAGTTTTTTGTTTAGCCTAATTTCACTTCACCTGAAAAGGTAAAATTTGTGAGAAATGAAAGTAGTTTACATTGAAGCAAGAGGAAAGAACAATAAACAGAACATTCAATATACTGATAATTGGTAATCAAAGGAGTTATTCACCCTTCCATTATTATAACAAAATACCTAAAAAATTTTTAAAAAATTACGAAAAGGAAAGCTTATTTTAGCTCAGAGTTTTGAAAGTTTAAGACCATGGTTAGTTCACATCATTGTTTGGGGACCTGTGTTGAGGCAGTTCATTATGATAGAAAATATCTATCATATTTTGACCAAGCAAGTCATTCACCTCATGGTTGCTAGGAGGAAAAGATAGCAAGAAGAAGAGACCATGGGTCCATAATCCTTCAAGGATATGCCTCCACTGACCTAAAATTTCCCGTTCTACTCCTTCTCTTAAAGATTTGCCCACCTTTCAATGCCATAAGGTTGTAGACCAAACCTTTAAACCATAGCAGCAAATGTAAGGAAAATTAAGCTTCATCTGTATCTATTAATTCATTTAATCTAGTTCTTAAGGATTCTTTCCTTAACTCTATACCCAGGAAGGATTTCATGATCCTTCCTATTCTAAAGCAGTAAACTTTCATGAAGACTACATTATATATTAAGTGTGGACATATTATTATTAATGCAATAATGTTTCACTCTATGAATTACCTGTTGATTCTTTGTGATAATCAAGACTATTTTAATTACCTGTTGATGCTTTGTGATAATCAAGACTGACATAGTTCCAAGTGTCATGATGATTTCTAGAACGTAGAACTGGAGTTGACAATAAACTAACATGTACAAAATTGATTACTTAAAACTATTCTATGATTCATTTATCCATTTTTTTTATTAATAAAAGATATCTCACCATCCAAATTTTACATAGTATTTTAAATGAATTTAGAGTTCATAAAAAACAGCAGTGACATATAATGAAAGGCTTAACTTCCGTCATAAAAAAAGCAAAATTAATTAATCATTCTATTCTTTGCTTTGAAGAGTATTTCCTCATGAATTTAAGTCTTAATTTAATTTTGTATCTATTTAACAAAGAAAAATATTTTAAAAATTGCCTTTAAAATAGAATAAATCATTATTTAGCAAAAAGTCTTTCTCAATCAGACACAATTCTACTTATATGTTTATAAAATATAAAGAGTTTATGAATTGCATTTCTGAACTTCAAACACATGTGATAATTTCTATATACCTATATTTATATTAACCCTTCTATGATTACTAAAAAGTATAACACAAAAATGTGTAAGTATTTCCTAGACATAGTAATATGGATAATAGTTCCATCTAGACAATATAGAAATGCAAATAAATAGTTTGAATTAATGAAATATAATTATATTTTTTCTAAAAGTTACATATTTTTCTCAGGTATATTTCATACACACAAACACGCATAAAATTGTAAGCAGTTATAATATTTTCTATGTTTGAGATAACTAGGCTATCTTTTTGATTACTTTATAGAGGCAAATATGCAAATTTCATGATAAATACAATAATCTTTTGAGATCATATGCACCACAGGGTATAGTTTAGTAAAATATAATCATTGATAATTGACTTTTGTCTTTGTTGTTGTATTGATATGGTTTATCATGTTATTTCTATTGCCTAACATATGCCACCTCTCCTCCTTCAAGTAGTATTTACCCTTATACCTTAAGGCAAATGCTACTTTCTGTAGGAAGTCTTAGGCTTTTAGGCTTCTTCTGCAATTTCCTTCCATAGCAATATTTTCTCTGTTGTGCTCATAATTATTTTAAGCAATTCCAATACAATTATCTCCCTATCTGAAGACATTTCCCATCACTATCAAGTTCACCATTTTGTCTCTAAAGTCTATTAAAGTTTTTTCTACTCTGGTACAACTTTGTAGCTGAGTGTGTATTTTAATATTATATATTAAAATAGAATAATTTTCTATTTTAATATCATGTATTAGAACAGAATATAAAAAGATTAAATAGAAAATAAATTAAGAGCTGGATAAGCTCGACCTCAAAATTACACATTTTGCAAATATAGGAATTTAAATAAAAAGTCATGCTTTTTGTTTGATAAATAAGTCTATAGTAAGAAATCTTCAGCATTCTGGCAAATATTTGGCATTTGATTATATTTAGCTTCAGATCAATGGTGACAATGTCTTTTTATCAGTAATAGCAGCATTATTAGCACAACAGTTACCATTTCTACTTCCTATTGTTATAGGCAGGAGCAGCCTCAGAAATAGGCAGTTGAATTGTGCTCAACCACTTTTTTCTTCAATAATAGGATTCAAAATTCATTTTGATAACTCATATGTACAAAAATATGTTATTTTCTAATAACAAGCTCAATAGCATGTATGGGTTCAATTTATATGATAGAAGGAAATGTCAGTGTGCAAAGTTCATGTGAATTTCTCAAGATAAAATTTACTTACTTTAGATTTGGAATCAATTATCTTGTTGATTCAGAGACCTATCATTTTATTTTAATTTTTGACACAAATGCAGAATACATCATCCCTGGTATTTTGGTGTCAAGAATTGGTATTGGCTCCTGATCCCCATGGTATCCTCCATGTTTTTGCTGAGTTTATGGGGTCTCCTCCTCATCTCAGATCT